TTAATTTACTGACAAGTTCATTTCACTGACAAGTTTTTTTTATAAATTATACTAACCTTAACTCTAATTTAGCCTGATCTTAATGACAATGTTCAGAATTACTTTGTCTGTAAAATGAGCTGTCAGTGAATTAATTGTTGGTGAAATGAACTTGTTGGTGAATTAATTGTCAGTGAACTAAGTTGTCAATGAAGTGATTGTTGGTGAAATGAGCACCACCCTGTTTGAATCAAGTATTGCTTGTGAATTTACTATATCAGAGTTATTATTCTGAGTTATTTGCATACTAATGTTATTGTTTTAAGTCATATTATTGTTTTTTCCAATTATTTTAGTTTGGATGTTGTTAGAGCCTGTTTGTGTTACTTGATTATTATTGTTGATCAGTAATGATATTATTCTATTTTCTGATAGGAGTAGACTAGATTACCCACATTTGTATTTGTTGCCTTTTGGCACTGGTGTCTGTGTAAATAGAATTAGGTTTAACTTATACTTTTTTTTTTCTTTGTTATTACTAGTATTGATGTTGTTGCCCATTTTGAGTTGTGGTTGTATGTTTAAAGTAAACGATGCAGTAAGGCCTGAAGGCCTTGTGTTTTCCTTGTTGTTGTTGTTGATTGTGTAGTTATTATTACTTTTTTTCACTTAATGTTTGTTATTTGTTGTGTGTGCTTTGTGTTGTATTTGGGTTCTTTAGTAGTTGACTATATTTTATTTAGTTAGTTAATTATAGTATTTATGTATTTTGTATTGTTGTTATAAAATTGGGGTCTACGGGAAAGAGTTTATGATTTTACTGTATATAAAATGCCAAAACTTACGATAATTTTTCCTGTGTGAATATTATTTAGATAGAATTTTGAGTCATTAATTTGACCAGGGAGTGAACAGCAACTTTATTGAAAAATATTGTTTTACTAGTTTATTATGTAGAACATATATACTATGGTAAAAACGGTTTAAGAAATTTCAAAATCCAAACCGCAATACTACAGTATAATTTTTTCAAATCAAAAATCATCGGTCGCTCGTCGTTCAACAAAACATCCATAATTATTTAATGCCGGGCTTTATGATAGAACATTACATTGTTTCAAAGTAAATGTAGCGATACATATGAGTTAACGATTTAATATAAGAAATATTCTAGCGATTAAAAAATATATGTATCTTGGGGAACGTTATTTGTTATCAACAACATCTAAAAAAAGTCTAAATTAAAATAATGTTTTAGAGCTTTGTGCTCTAGTTAGATATGTTTATCAAAATTGGTTACTAACAGCTAGAAATAACTGCAAACAATTTATAAGAAATGTTATCGCAGGTAATATATATTTAATATAATTAATACAAAGATTAATACAAAGAGTTAATTATAACTTTAGAACAAAAAATTGAACGAAATGATTGTATAAAAAAAAATTATAAGCTAAGGCAAATCAAAGATATCTCAAGTTATCAAAGTTATCAGTTTATGAAGTATTTTGATACAATCGTTTTTGCAATGTTTTCCATCTAACTAAACATGAATTCGGTGTACGACCTTGGAGACCTTTAGCAATTCGATTCCAAGCAGGAGAGGGCATTTCGTCCAAAATAAAATCAATCATATAGTTATCTTCATCAACTTTCCAGGCGGTTTTCTTTTTTGGATATTGACCACTTCTACCCTTTTTCTTCGTGGATGGTTTCTTTTCTGCCTCTTCATAATCAGAGTCGCCTGCCTTATAATCATCGTCATCATCATCTTGATCGTGATGAGATCCATCTGATTCGACTTCATCTTCGAATCTGATGGTAGGTTTACGGCCGCGACCTCGTTTTGGTGGGGTTTGATTGGATGAATTTGATGCTGTCGATTTTCTACGTTTAGAAACTGGTGAGTTCATTTTTCGAGTTGATGTTCTGGTCCTTTTGGTAGGCGGTGGTTCAACAGAATCATCAGACTTATTTTCATCGTTATCATCGTCAACGTCTGGAGACTCTTTATCTTTTGTGTACTGGGGCTGTTCTTCATTTTTGCTCTTTTCCGTGGGTATAGTAGATGATTTTTCCTCATTCTGAATTTATATTATTTATTAAAGAATATAATCGAAAAAAAATTTTTTTCTTATTTATTAAGTACATTAAATACTCACAGTATCATCATCACTCATAGGCATAATTTGTACTTCTTGTGTCATTTCAGGCTCTTCTACTACTTTCGTGTCTTGTTCATCCCGTAATGTGGAATTTTTTGCCTCTACATCTGAAGCCATTTAGTACTATTCTTTAAAAAGAAAAAAAAAAGATGACTTATATATAACAAAGTATAAAATAGAATGAATGATAAAACTTTAAGAGATAATCGTTTAGGTGAAAAAGAAATTCATTGACAAAAAATTCTTCAAACACTTTTTAAACTAATGAACAAAAGCATTAATCACTTTGTTTTTTTTTTACATTATTTATGTCATTAAAAAAATAATTTTAAAAACTTTCGCGTCCTTTAACATACTTGAATGGTATAATGATCAGTGAATGATAGAAAGACTAATATATGTTTTATTGTTAGTCAATTGAAATAAAAATAGCTATCATTATCAAACAAATCTAATATTTACATTTCAAAACTATATCAAAAAAATGAAATATGCGTGACGTTAAGTATCTAGTTTGAAGTCTATAGAATGAAGGATGTGAATCCACTCCTTTTAATTCACGAGATATTTTAAAACTCGCATAGAAAAATGTATAATACCATCATAATTACAAAAAACGTGCATTCCTTTTAAATGTTCTAATTATTAGATATCATAAGTAAAATAATTCATTGATTTAAAATCATTTCTAAGTAGGTTTCTGGTACGCCCATTGCTACTCTATTGCAATATGCGAGTCCTTCGTCAAATGATCTAAACATCACCATAAAAACTGCACCGACACTTGCACAGAGTACTACACAGAAAAATACAGCGTCTCCTATTAATACAAGTATCGGTATGAGAATAGACCCTGTTACTGTGGTTATAAATGATTTAAAGTTGTATCCCGCATGAATTCCAATATAACCTTTCCAAAGCGCATATTCAAATTTACAGACCATTGGAAAGTACAACATGAGAAAAGTAACTACTGTTGTGGGAATTGTAATAAGAAAATATACTGGACAAATTAATAGTGGAAAAAGAATGAAACTGCTCCAACTTAAATCTCTAGTTGGACCCGTATAACTCATTATATTATGAACTTGTTGAGGAACAAGTGAATTACATTGATCCCATGTTGACGAAGAAAGGTCTAAAGCTGATCTAATAGGTTGAATAGGTTGAATAGGTTGAATAATGGTCGATTCTCCAACATTTGTCCACTGGTCTTCATCTTGGTTTATTTTTCGATTTTTATAACGTTGGTAAGTATAATAAACCATCGCTGCAGATGGCGAAAACGTATGATATGGTTCGTTTGGTTTATTAAGATGTTCTTTAACTGGGAAAATAAGGGTAATCCAAATAGTATAGCAAAACGAAACAACGATCCCAACGGGAAAATATAATAATATTGGAATAGGTGAAAGTATAAAGATTATTAATTTAAGATTTGGTCCGATATATCTATTTGCAAAAATAGTATAGTAAAGGTTTACAACATTATTGGGAAAGAATATGATCAAGACAAAAATGTTTGGCAAGGAGCATGCGAAAAAAACTGGTAAGAAATAAATTATAAAATCGATGAGAATCAAAAATATGCTAAATGCAATGCGATAGATGGTACAACTTTTAACCATTTTTTTTTTCTTTTTCTTTCTTTAGAATACATATTCTACATCAATCATTTATATTTCAATCCCGAATGTTTTTTTATGCACGTACTGAAATGTCAAACGCAATGAACCACTACGTGACAATCCTTAATTATGTGCCACACCATCAAACACCACCAAATATCATCAAAAACAAATCAAACGCATCACATGGCATAAATTGTAACAATTAAAATATATTTTCGTTCGTGCAGATGCGAAACAAATAAATCGATCTACAACAGAAATATATGTCATAGGTTGGTGATCAGATGCTATGCTGCATCTGATCAAAACTTTAGAATTTATTGCATAGACAAACTTACTGATCATAGATGGAAAGTCACGATAATTTCATCTTTACTAAATAGTCAATCATATTCTTTGATATATATCTTTCAAAACTTAACTACAGTCAATCCATATTGTGTAGGACGCTGAAGGATAATAGTCGAAATGAACAAACGGGTTTCTTGTGAAATCTTTGTGCCTTATGAGAAATATCGCTTCATAATCAACTATCACTTCCTGTACGTACGCACGTACTTTAAATCAATAAATCTGCAAGCGACTATTTCAAATATTTGTGTTGTACAATGTCAACTATATGTTTTAGTGGTTCATGGAAAAGCATACGTAATTTTGTCATGGTACGTACGTACGTACATGCACATAAATGATTACTAATAATGATATCGATATGTCTTGACTGGTCATACAATAATCACAAGTCATGTGGCTAAATTGTGAGAAACTCCCAGCGTCACCAATAGTCGAGGGCGCAGTCACATGATTTTCCAACCTCGCGAAGCTACCATCAAATATTTTACTCATATGTGATATTTTACCCATACGTGATAATTGACCAATAAAAGATCATAATTTAGCGTACCGTCTCTAATGAAAGGTTCTCCACCGATTAAAATTGGATGATTTCAATTTGCAAAATGGTGTGATCTGGGTTTGGGCCCCGTAGCTTATTGGTTAAGCTCCCAAACCCCCACAGACAAGGTCAACGGTTCGAGTCGGGCTGGTGGCAAATTTTCGAATTTGTTACTGTAACCATATGGAGCCAT